GATTGAAGGGGTTTTAATTCTTGTTTATTCTGAGGGAGGATTTTTGGTCTAAGGCTGAGCATTGTTTCCATGGTGAATGGTTTAGCCTGAAAACCACGCACATAAATTAAACTGAGTATAAAGGAAAGTACTTTATGTATATTTGCATGTGAACTGGCAGCTGGGCATTGTTTCTACTGTGAATGGTCCAGCGTTAAGCCATATCATTAAGAAGAGAAGAGAAAATACAAAGTATAAATGAAAATAGTTTGGGCAAGCTGAACATTGTTTCTACTGTGAATGATTCAGTCCCCTGCCCATATTTGTCTTTTTTCTTCTAAGAACAAAGTCAGAGAAATACTAAAATTTTGGATATTAAACAGCTTAGGGCGACTAGGCATTGTTTCCATGGCGAATGGCCTAGTCATCTGCCCAAAAGAAGAGAGAAGTAGTTGTGCAACCTGTTCGTGTATATCATAAAGACAAGCAGGGCATTGTTTCCATGGTAAATGGTCCAGCACGATGTCTTATGTAAGATGGGTATAAGGGTTCAAGAACTTGAAGATTCATGAACTATCTATATGGAATGAACTTGGGATGGTGAGAGTACTTACATTCGTGATTTGGTTTGCATATGACTGGATAGGATGACTAATTTGTTTGGGTTTCATTTTTATTGGTAGTTGCTTTAGTTGCTCGCCATGTGCTAGAGCCATAGGAGTTAGTGTCAATTCATGCATTTTCTGTAATAACTTTTTTTTTACTTAGGTCAATTCCTGCATTTTCGGAGATCTTTTCTTATACTTGGCTTTGTATAAATCTTGGCAAGCTACTTTTCCTACAGGAAGCGCTGCCAAAATTTCTACAAATCCAAGAAGTTAGCCAACTTTTGACTTGTCAGAGTTGAACTTGTCTTTTCCATATATCTGACTTAGTTAAAATCTAGGAAGTCTCATTTTCTAAAGGGAGTGCTGCCCAAATTTTTGCTAATTCAGGGAGTTCGGCAAAAATTGAACTGTGGGAAGCCAAAGTTATTTTCAAAATTTGAACTTAGTCTTGTATAAATTTTAGAATAACACTTTTCTAGAGGGAGTGCTGCCGAAATTTCTACAAAATTAAGGAGTTAGTTAAATTCAGTCTAAAGTTGAGCTCGAGCTGTTGTCCGAGTTCACATCTGACTTAGTATAAATCTGGGAAGTCTCCCTTTCTAAAGGGAGTGCTGCCTAAATTTATACTAACTCAGAGAGTTAGACAAAATCTGATTCTCCAGAGTTAAAGATTATTTCTGTTTTTATATCTGACTTAGTATAAATCTGAGAAGTCTCCCTTTCTAAAGGGAGTGCTGCCCAAATTTCCACTAATTTAGGGAGCTCGACAAAATTTGGCTTTCCAGAGTTAGAAATTATTTATATTTTTTATATTTTGACTTATAGAAATTCTGAACAGGCACTTTTCCTACGGGAAGCGCTGCCAAAATTTTCTTAGTTTGGAGGAGATCGATTTTATTTTGAGAGGTGATGATTCAGGCGATCCGCCCTGAATAGGGGAGATTCTGCAGCTGATCTACTTTTGGCTTAAGCACTGACTTAAAAGTAGACTTAGGTTTAGCTTATAAGGAGATTTTGAGTGAGGGTGTATTATGGAGTTGTATTCTCCATACACTTATGTTCTTAAACTTGGGGATTGGTCTGTCGTGTGTTACAGGTCCTTTTGATCATTTGATCCAAGTTCAAGGCTAGATCCAGCTTGATCCCTTGAGGATCACTTTCTGTTATCACTGATAACAGGTCGATTGCCGATTCGTCGGTCTATGACTAAATTTCAACTCTCCCTCCACACTCAACCTAAAAGGGCTTTAGCCTTGGTGATTTCGTTGTTTTATTAAGGCTTCACCCGGACTTTTATTGAATGGTCATTTAACAAAGGTACTGAGTATTTAATTAAGGTTGGTTGGAGAGGAGGTTTGGGGCTTGCATGGCTAAAGCGAGGGGTATGAGTGTCGAAGGTGGTTGGGGTTGACTCCGTGTAGTATGTGGGTTGTTGATTTAGTTTGTTGATGTGATGGCAGGTATGTGCTGTGAATCAGATTCTGGAATTGGTTGCCTACGATCACACATATACGTATTATTGTGAGAGACCCCAGTGAGACCATGAGAAGTAATCGTCACATACTTAACCCCTATATATGTATACATGGGTATACTTGGGATGAATGTTTGCATAGGGTTGAAGAGTCTCCATACTAAAATCCTACTCAGAAGTTGAGGCTGAGGGGCGTAGGGGAGGCCTCCCCTTCTATTTTTGTTCTTGCTTTTTTATGATTTTTCTTAGTCGGACGTTTGGTCCTGGGCCGGGATTCGAGGTCCTTGTCCGGGACACCCCAAGCCCTAGGCTCTGCAGGCGAGGGGTTTTCCCTCGTGCAAGGCCTATTTGATTTGCCTACCGAGACGCTCAGGCCGAGAGCCGGAGAGGCCGCGGCGGCTACACGACTATTCCTTCAGCCGTGTAATGTCGTGAAGGGCTAGGCCCTCACGACACTTCGAGTCTGACACTTGAGTGTCATAAGTGGTACTCGGATCCACGAGGGACCACTTGACTATGGGCACTACATAGTACGTCATCGTCGCGACTGCATGCGTACGCCTGCATTGCGGGCTGGCATGAGGTAGGCCCTCGGCTGCTCAACTTTATATTAAAATCCCGCGCGCGACTTTTTACCGCCCTGGTGTGTAAAAAGTTATGGGATTACAAAGGGACCGACACATATAGGCGAATGTTTGAGATTTTTATAAGCCACCAACGCCGCGCAAAAAAGGAAGGGTACCCCACGGCTATGATTTTGTTTATTAGGCGGGGAACCTTCGGCCTATTCCTTATTTTTTGCTCTTTGGATTTTTTATAGTGGGACGTTATAGTCTATGGCAGCCATCAAAGTCAAACCCCTTGATGTTCGACTGCCACGACAGCTTAAAGCTGTCTACTCAACCCCTCTCCACAGGGTGCAGAAGAGGGTGTGGTCTTCAACCGCGCATGGCGGTTGTCCAGCGTCAAGAGATTAACCCTTAAGGCGCGTGTCAGCCGAGACTTGAGTATCGAACGCGGCCCTCGCGATTAACGGGAACCGCGTGAGAATGGGTACTACGTAGTACGCCTTCATTGCGACTGCTTACGTATAATTGCATTGCGAATCGATATGCGATAGACTTGCATCCGCGCGGTTTTATATTAAGTCTCGCACAAGACGCCTATTCAATTTTTCCGTATCGGGAAATTATGGGACGGCTACTAAGGGGCTAGGAGCGTTGTAGTGTTGTTTGTGTTGTATCGTTTCGTATATGTGTTGTTTTGTGTGTATGTGTGTTCGTAAAATGGAGTGCGCGTGGTGTGTGGGATRCGTCCTAGTCGACCGACGACGAACCGCGTTTGGGACTTCAGCCACCCATGATGTCGGTTCGCGTGCGGGTCCGATAGAGGCGTATTACTGCGTGTACCCCCTATGCTACAGCGAACGAGAAACACCCTTGGCTGGTCCACCTCTGCGATTGCAACTGATTAGCTTTCATACTGTGGACTGGTAACTCGGCGGGGGTACGCCCACCGAAGGGAGGTGACAGCTCCCGTAAGGTGTAGGTAAGTCGTGCCTCGCGCAGACCCTATCCTGTCGTAGGGGCTTGCGAGAGGTATGGCTGGTGCACTCGGCCGGAGCGGTTTGTGGAAGCTCCATGAATATTGCGACGGAGGGTTATAAACCAACTCCTGTGTGACGCGGCCGGGAGGGTCCCGCGCTGCCCTAATGCGGTGCCGGACCGATGCAGCGCGACAGGTGGCGCCGTTGTCGGGGATAACGGAAAGCCTACCGTTGTCCCTGGTGGAACGACATCCGGGTAAGAGAAGTGATTAAGAAAAGGCATAAAGGAATGATGAGAGGGTAAGGGAGAAATAATGAGTGACTAAGTGTAGGTGAGAAAGTTTACCTGCACGAGTTAGGGAAAATTATAAGGGGCGACTGTGCTAGTATTGAGTAAAGTATGTAGTAAAAAGTTAGGTAAAGCAGGTGGAATATGCCGGTCAAGGCGTAATGTTGAATAAGGGGGTATGCTTGTTTTCTTTCTCCTAACAGAAAGCTTGAAAAGAAGAGGCTGTCAAGATGCCTGAAACTGGCAGCGCATCGGGTGCACCCAAGAAGGGCCTGACACTCGACGATCTCATCGCGGCCATCGACCGGCATGAAAGGAATCCGAGCAATATCCCAAAGGTCGATACTTTCCATTTTTGTGGGGAAAGAGTCTCGGAATGGCTGGAGCGGGTGGAACAAGCTTTGGTCGGGCGGTCGGACATTGTAAAGTGTCAACGCATTCTTTAGTATGTCCTCCACAGCTATCACCAAGAGGTGAAAAAAGTCATAGATGCAGCCCAAGGCAGCTGGGAGAGGTTTAAGGAGGGGATGCAAAGGAAGTACCGCCTGGGAGACGGGTTGTTGACTACCTCGGACCTTGAGGCGATGAACAAAGAGGATTTTACGACGATAGGGGCCTTTGTCCAAGAATTTAACAAAAGGGCGCGGAAGGTCCATGGGATCTCGGAGGAAGCACAATGCGTCATTTTTTGGGGGCTACTCACGGCGTCGGAGGCCGTCGAGTTGACGAGACATGGAGGAGGTAGCACCAAGCTCACCTGAGCCACCATTGATAGAGGGGTGGAAGTGGGATGCTTGGACCAGGTCGAGCAACGTCAGGTACGCCTGGAAAGGCAGAAGAGAAAGGAAAGAGATGCGACCGCTTCTGAGACCCCGACGGTAACAAGGATTGTTACAGACGTATTGGCACAGCTGGGGTATGCGACAGAGCCGGTGGTGCAAAGGAGGGTAGTGACGACTGTAAAAATGAAAGGAAAGGAGCCGGTGATAGAAGAGGCCGCTAAGGAAGAACTCTAGGAAGAGGAAGAACCGGTGCCGCAGCGCCTGACGAAGGCCCAACGCAAAGTGCGTAACTTGGCGCAGGGCGGTCAGGGATCAGGAAAAGCGCAAGAGCCCCAGGCTTTGACAGCAACCCCTTCAAATGTAACGGCTCCGTCATCTAGGACGGGCCCCTCGCAAGGAGGGGCGCCGTCCTACGGACAGTGGCCCTGGCCGGTGATCAATGCAATTGTGCCATGGGGAAGCCCGCCGCCAGTAGTCGGACCGCAAACAAGTATACCACCACCCATCTACCCCGCAGCCCAGGCCCAGCCTGTGGCCCCGCCACCGTCGCCTGCTCCCAGTTCGCAGGGCAGTGTGGCAGGAGGTGGGAACCAGGGGCAGGGCAATCAAGGCAACGGAGGGAGGGGTGGAGGAAGGGGGCGAGGCAGGAATGGCGGCGGAAGAGGAAGGCAATGGAATGGTCAAGGCCAGGGGTACAAAGGCCAAGGGAATCAAGGCCAGGGGTACCAAGGCCAAGGGAATCAAGGTCAGGGGTGAAAAGGCCAAGGGAATCAAGGCCAGGGGTACCAAGGCCAAGGGAATCAAGGCCAGGGGTACCAGGACCAGGGGTACCAAGGCCAGGGGTACCAAGGCCAAGGAAATCAAGGCCAGGGGTACCAAGGCCAGGGGTATCAAGGCCAGGAGGATCAGGGAAGTCAGGGGTACGGAAGACCCCGTTTGACTGGAGGACGGTCATCTGTCAACATTGTGACCAGCAAGGTCACATTATAAGGTTCTGTAATATAAGACGGGAAGACGAGAGGAGCGAGCTGATTTCCTCCACTATGGATGGGAACATCTATGATAAGTTTGGGGAGGCCATTGATAGAAGGCTTGGAGGAGTGAGGGTTGAAGCCCAACGAAAAGCGGCGGCTGGGCCGCCACCCCCGACCATGTTCAGGCTATGGCAGGAAAAGGAGGAACCACCGATTGGGGTGGAGGAAGTGGGGAGCAATGAGGAAGTGGCTCAAGGACTACAAGGAGGGAGAAAGAAGGAAGAGTCCGTAATCATTGAGCCAGATGACGAGAAGAAGGAGGAAAGGATGGAGCCTTCGTCCGTCTTATTTGGGAAGATGGAGGCCCTGCTGGATAAGATGGGGAGGTACCAACAGAAATTGGTGGGCCTCTGCGAGGAAGTGAAGAGATGGAGGTCTAACATCCCCAAGGTGTTCCTCTATGACTCCGGCCCGGAGTCAGCGCCTGGGCGACCCGGAGTAAATGTAGTAGGGTCGTGCCCACAATCGGGAATGATGGGGAGACCCCTCACCCTGCACGCCCGGCTGGCGCAGGCAGCACGAACGAGAAATCAAGCCAGAGTCAGCGCCAGCCAAGAACCTCCAAGGAGGGAGCCGGAACTAGGAAAGAGGAAAGAGGCCGTGGAAGTGGAGGATGATGATGATGAAGAGGAAGAAGACGAGAGGCTGCGCCAGAAAGAGGATCAGAGAGCGGAGGAGCGGACAAGGAAAAAGGGAGTCAGGGGAGAGGCCGAGCCGATCATACGTGACGGACCAACCAAAAAGAAAAAATACGCGGTTCGGTTGGAAGAGGGATTTGACGTAGAGAAAGTGATCGACCGGCTGTTGGAGGGGCATAATGACCTCATGACCCTAAAGAAATCCTAGTGTCAGCCTCGCGGCTCCGCAATGAACTGAAGGGGAGATTGTCGCGGCCCTTGGTGCCCAATGTCCATCTGGGCACGATTCTGCCCAAGGAGGCAGAATGGGCGGAGTCAGGCACGAAAATGGATTGGAAGTGCGTGGCCTGCGGCACGGTGGATTTAGTGGTAAAAGGCTCCAAGTGTGCAGCAATGATGGACACCGGGGCGGAAATGAACATCATCCGGGAGGCGGACGCGATCAGATTCGGGCTGGATATAGACCGTTCTGACTGCGGCATTCTGCACGGAGCCAGCTGCAAGGCCGTATTTTGTGGGACAGCCTCGAATGTACTCATTGAGGTTGGAAAGGTGAAGGTCAGGGCTTGTTTTTTTATCATGCCGGACGTGGATCACGAAATCCTCCTAGGGAAGTCGTTCCTGAGCAGGACGGGGACCGTGATATTCAATAAGCATGACAGACCTCCTCTTATGCGATCCTGCCTGCGGGAATTACGAAATAATTACCTGCAGGAACACCGGGCCAAGGAGTATGAGGAACCGGCCCAATCCAGGATCATTCACGATCGAGGCGTCGGAAGGGGAGCGTTGAAGGCTCCGGGCAGAGCCCGAAGCAGGAGAGAGGGTGAAAGCATTTTCCCTCAGCTTGTCAAATGTTGGGAAGGCCATGGACCTGGTGGCCGCACATGAGATGGCAGATCCGGATGCCATCCAGCCCTTGAGGGAGCAAGTTCTGGAATGCCCCGAGGCAAGAAGGTTGGAGTTGGTATATCGGCTCCCAGGCAGCGGAGGGCACCCCGCATCAGCGCAAACACAATCTGTAAGTCGGCTTTTTTTAGGGGACGGCTTAAACATGGTTCCCAAAGGCGGTACAAGACGGTAGACAAGAAGTGCCGCCCGGTTCCCGTCCTCGTTACAGAGGATGAGGAAGCATATTACGAGAGAGAACGAGGGTTGATACGGCGAATGAGGGAGAGTGCTCTAGCAGGGTCATGTCGTATCAATGAAGGGAACGAGGGGGAGTTGATTATAGGGGAACCCAACTTCCTACTGCCTCAAGAGCGAACATTGATGGTGAAATTAATGAAGAGGAGGCATCGTGCGTATGCGTTTAGCGACGAGGAGCGTGGCAGACTGGATGTGGACAAAATACCTATGATCCGCATCCACACCGTGCCACACGAGCCTTGGAACATGAGAGGGGCGCGATATCCTAACCCTGACGAGGAAAAGAAGGTGGTGGACTACCTCGACGGCAAGATAAGTACCCACGTCGCCGACTATTCTAGTGGACCGTATGCGTCCCCGTGGTTCTGCTTCATTAAGCCTAACGGGACGCTGCGGTGGGTGCAAGATCTGCAGAGGTTAAATGCGGTGACCGTGCGAGATGCTGGAGGACTGCCAAATGCGGATGCTTTGTCGGAATCCTGTGTTAGAAGGCCTATAATTTCGCTTATAGACCTTTACTCAAGATACGATCAGTTTCCGGTCTACCCGCCGGATAGGCCGGTGACGGCTATGCATACGCCGCGAGGATTAATCCACATGAACGTGGCCCCTCAAGGGTGGACCAATACGGTACCAATGGTCCAACGGGCCATGATTCGGGTTATGCAGTCAGTCAGCCCCCATATTACACAGCCATACATCGACGATTTGGCGGTGAAGGGGCCAGCAGTGAAGGAGAGCGATGAAGTCTCGCCAGGGGTAAGGCGCTTTATTTGGGAGCATATCTAGGACCTCGAAAAAGTCCTGAGCCTGCACGAGGAGCATAACCTCATGGCGAGCGGGGCCAAATCCAGACACTGCATGAGGGAAGTGACTATTTTGGGGTTCGTCTGCAGCGAGAAGGGTCGGAGGCCGGATGTGAAGAAGACGGACAAGATTACTGAGTTGCCAGTCCCGTTCCACTCAGCAACTGATGTCAGAACCTTCCTTGGTACGTGTGGATTTTGGAGGGCCTTCTTCAAGAATTTTGCCGCTAAGACTGAACATCTGAGGAAGTTAGTTCGTCAGGACCAGGAATGGGTTTGGGGTGAAGAACAAGAAGAGGTGGTAGCCAGAATGAAGGAAAAATTTCGAAAAGGAGGGTTGGTGTTAGGAGCGCCAGATTATGACGCCACAGAGACGCGACCCTTCATTGTCGAAACGGATGCGGGGCCGACTGCTTTACGGGGAGTTCTAATTCAGGCAGACATGGAAGGAAAGGAAAGGCCCTTGCGATTTGAGAGTCGGACTATCTGTACGACGGAGAGGAACTACTCTCAGTTCAAGAGGGAGACCCTTGTCGTCCTCCATTGTCTGCGAATCTTCCGAAACTACATCTTCGGCAGGAGGTTTATTTTGAGAGTGGATCYGACCGCCCTGGCCTACTCTCTAAGGAATTACGTTCCATCGGATCCGACGGTTGCCAGATGGCTGACGTACATCTGGATGTTCAATTTCGAATTGGAACGGATACCTGGCAGTAAGAACCGGGCAGACGGGCTGAGTAGGATCAACTGGGATAAACAGGAAGGGGAGGCAATGGAGGATACGCCCCCAGTTGATGGATTTCTAGATGAGGAAGAAGATGTTCGTCTCCACATCAATAAGTGGTCGTCGCGAGTGCCCAGCTGTGTAGGCTATCTTATTTGGCAAACGCCGAGTGGGTATGAACGGAGGAATGAGCTAGTCCTTAAGCCCTTTGAGGAAGAGGATCCCTGGGGTGGTAAGGATGTTCAGTGGATGATGGAGCTAGCGCTGGCCACCTCGCATAGCCTGGTGGAGGATATGAGGACGATTGAGGAAGGACCWGGCCAGGTAGAACGACATGAAGACCTGATGGGAGGAATGTATCTCCTCGTTAACACATTATTGCAGGAAAGCCTTGGCCAGTCAGGCTCGTTGAACCCGGCAGGGAATGTGGACGAAGTGCCCGAGAGCCAGGACGACGAGTTCGAGGAAGGGGAGATCAAGGAGGCTTTTCGTGCAGAGGAGTACGACGGGATCTACCTAGAGCGGGGGCTTCTTTTGTCATGTGAAATACGGCTAAGGGATGCAAGTGATAGAGCTCAGAGGATGCTGCAGCGCCATTTAGTGCGAGACGACCACCTTTTCATGAAAAGAGAAGTGGGGAATCCAAGGAGAGTCGTCTGCGGTAGGAATCGTCAGATCGACGTCGTAGCAGCGCTTCATGATGACATTGCAGGAGAGCATTGAGGGGTACAAGCCACGTATGCCAAGATAAGTGAGTTGTATTACTGGGATGGGATGATGGACATGGTTGGAAAATTTTGCCGATCTTGCGTAGCTTGCCAGGAGAGATCCCGTTTAAGGCAAGGAGAGCCGCTGCATCCAAGGCTAGAGCGAGAGGTAGGGGCTGTAGTGCATCTCGATCTACTTTTTATGCCGCTTGGGGACCAGGGCTATAACTATATTTTCGATGCGCGCGATAACCTGTCTGGTTTCGTAGATGGGCGTGCTATTCGCACAAAGACCGGGTCAATCCTGGTGAGCTGCATCGAGGAGTATTACCTACGCTATCCTTTCGTCAGGGAATTCGTAATGGATAGGGGATCAGAGTTTACCTGCCAGGAGATGCAAGAATTGTTGTCGAGGTATGGTGTAGCGGCCAACTACACCACGGCCGCGCATGCCCAGGCAAATGCTCCCGTGGAGAGAGGACATAATACCATTACGAGCCTTCTGGCTAAGTGGACCGAAGGTAGGCCTAATCAATGGCCAAGGTACCTAAGGGCGGCATTCTTTGTCGAGAACATTACAGTAAAAAGATCCACCAAATATGCACCGGCGACACTGTGATATGGAAGGCACACCACCTTCCCTATCGAGAGCTTTCTTAAGACATGGAGGCGCCAGGATCTGGAAGTTAACCTGACATTTGAAGAGTTGCTCGATATTTGGGCGCGGCAGCTAGGGGCGATAGAAAAAAGGATTCAGGAGGCGTCTCATCAGGTGGCAAGGAGCCGTATGAATGATAAGACTCGATGGGATCAGTCTGCGCGGGTGAGGAAAGTACCCTTGGCAGTGGGAGTTGTCGTGCTTCTCTACGATTCATCACTGGAGAAGTAGTGGTCCAGGAAGCTTGATAAGAGGTGGCTAGGTCCATACCGGATTATACGGGTCTGAGACTTCGGAGCGTACCAGATTGAGGAGCTAAATGAGACTGAGTGGAAGGATTGGGTATCTGGAACGCGACTGAGGAAACTCGGTGAGAGAAGAGGTAAGAGAGACGACCTGACTGCCTTTAGAATAGAAGTAGCAGGGTGTGTAGGTTAGGTAGGATGCATGCTGTATGAGTGTGGTCTGGTCTGAGTTTGCTTGATTATCACMTGTTTGCTTACCCCAATGTGTGYCTRTTGTCTCCTTCGCCTGTTGTGCAGGTCTGACTTTWYGAAGACAGCCATGCCAAGAGGAGGGAGGGGGACACGGCCGCCTCVRAGGCYGTTRGGARCATCAGGAGGRTATGAGCGACATGRGCCTCGYCATCGAGAGAGTACTCCGGTATACGATGATGGGGACATCGAGCTATTCCTGGACAGCTTTTGGGATCATGCGAGGCGTATGGGCTGGACCGTGGCCCAGGCAATCGAGAGGCTGAGGGGAGTCGGCAGATTCGAGGAGCCCATCGCGCGGATCCATAGAGAGGTGACGACGAGGCAAGAGGTGGAGATGAGGATGGAGGAGTTGCGACCCTCGCCGGTGGGACCAGATGGCAACCCGATCCGCCTGGAGATTGGAAATACGTCGGACTTCATCCCCGCATTTGAGTGGTTCATGCAGGGGCAGGGCATACCGAGAGATGATTGGATGCAGACGCTACCACTCTGGACCAGGAAGGCGGAAAGGCCGCTGGCTAGCCAAATCAGAGACATGGCCCGGGACTGGGAGAGCTGCAGGGCACATCTAAGAGAGGCCTTTCGATGGCCAGAGCCCCCCCAGCCCAGAGTCGAGAGGCGTCAGAGGAGTCAGAGGCCGAGGGATCCTAAGCCCAGGGAGGTGAGACCGTCTCGAGGAGGACGGAAAGCCCTAGCCAGGAGAGAGTAGGAGCCAGAGGTTGAGGAGCGAGGGGCATACCCTGAGTGTGGGTTAGGACTAGTGGAGTTCCATCGTTTTACTGAGGGTGGATTGAGGAGGTCGCCAGCACACACACAGGAGGAGCCGCTGGTGTCTGAGGAGCCTTTGAGGGAGTTGGAGACGCATCTGGATATCTCTCAGTGGAGAGCGTCGCCTCAGGGTGAGGAGCATGGAGAGCAAGCAGAGGAGGTGCCACGAGAGGAGGTGCCACGAGAGGAGGAGCCACGAAGGGAAGTGTTACGAGAGGAGGTGTCACGGGAGGAGGTCCAGGATACTCAGCGGGAGAGAGGGCTGGGCGATGTGGGGAGACGTGCAGGGAAGGAAGTAATAGAGGTTGGAGAGGACACACCCCCACAGACGCCAGCAGTGGGCTTGAGACTCGGGGATGCGCTAGGAAGCACTTGCTAGGCGGAGGAGAGGATGCAGAGAGAGGAGGCCCCATTACCTTCATCAGAAAAGGCCCCTTCGCTAGAAAGGAGGGCAGAAAGGACGAGAGAGAGGGCAGCTATAAGGAGAGAAGCCTTGATCCTGATTGACAGGCACCTAGCAGCTCATGCCCTGGAGCACCCAGACCTGGAGGAGCCAGCACCTGCAGAGCCGCGCCAGGAGTCGTGCCAGCCCGATAAGGAGATGGAAGCAGAGATCCCAAAGAGGGTTGACCTCCGCACGAGGGAAAGGGCGCCCGCTGGAGAGACGGCTGAAGAAAAGAGGGCGAGAAGAACCAGGCGGATAGATGAGATATGGCAGGAGAGGCAAAGGTTGGAGGCAGCGGGGGAGCTTCCGGAGTAGCAGCGGGAGAGGCAGAGATCGGAGGCAGCAGGAACACTTCCAGGTCAGCCACCCAGCGCACCAGCTAGGGCTCCAGAGATTCCAGAGATGTGGAGGGACTTCTGAGAGCAAAGAGGAGAGGAGCTTCCTTCGCCAGTCAGAGCCGGGTTTGGGGTGGCCAGGAAGGCGAAAGAGAGGTTAGATCGTAAAATCAAGTTCCTGGCCAAGACCACTTTTGACCAGCACTTGTTATTGGAGGGCGATCTGGCAGGGAAGAAGATGAAGGAAGCAAGCCATGGAGTACGCCTGGAGGCTATGGAGATTGAAATTCAGGAACTCAGGGGATTGGTGGCCAGCCAGGCAGCTATCATCGAGAGCCTGAGGCAGCAAACCCAGGGAAAGGTGGACAGGCCAGAGAGCAGCCGGCAGGGAGAGCAGAGGCAGCCAGGACAGGGATTGTCAGGACAACCATCTGCAGCAGAGCCTCGCCAGGAGCCACCTATAGGGAGAGTTATCCTGAAGCCAGAGGAGGCGAGAGCCTAGAGACAGGCGGAGAGAGAGGCGTTCGAGTTCAGAGCCCCTACCGAGTTCGCGACGCTGCCAGTAGTAGCAGCAGACTCAGTCGTACCTTTGGCGATTGAGCAGGGGCTGCCACCATCTAGCGGTGAGCTGGCTCAGGGCTCAGCAGAAGGATCCATGGGCGTGCTCCTTGAGGCAGTGCATACCATGCAGGAGGAGGCGAGTTTGTTTTCACCCGAACAGAGGATAGAGGAGCCTCTTGAGAGAGAGATGGGGATTGAGGCAGAGGGTGTCATCGAGGGCGGACTCAAGAGGATGGGGACGCCTGAGTATAGGCCAGAAGAGATTGAGGAGTAGCCCATGACAGTGCCAGGAGAGACACTCGAGAGGAGACCTCAGAGGTTGGACACGCCTGAGTACGTCCAAGTGGCAGGGGATTTGAGGAGCAGACTGGGATCTTGGGCTACTGGATCTGGGTCTGGGGAACCGGTTCCTGGGGTAGAACAGTAGGAGGTCGTTAGTGCCACAGCTCCTCGATCAGAGCAGCAGGGGGTTGTCAGTACCTTGGTAGGATCTCCTTCATCGCCACCTCCTCAGCCCAGGAAGAAGAAGTTCAAGAGGAAGGTTGATCAGTTATGCTTCTACTACAAGAGGGGCGTGCATCTGGCTCTGGACTGTCTCGAGTTCCTTGAGGATAAGGCAGAAGGGAAGGTCTCAGAGGCAGGGGGTAAGATGTATGATAGAGAGGGTAAGATAGTAGAGAAGTCCGCAGATGGACTTATGGCTCAGTTATATAGGCAAAACCAGGAGGAGTTGAGGAGGTAGGGCCGGTTTGTCTATGTAAGTGAGTGAGTATTTTGTGAGACATCAACATCAGCTTAGGTTCTGTGTGATACCCTCCTAGGCTTAGGGGACTCTTTTGATGATTGCTACTAGTCTAGATCTGAACTCTGGTGTTCCTACTGAGCCGGGATTTTGAGGATCAGAGTAATCTAGATGAGGCATTTACATATTTAGGTGGCCTACGCACAGGCTTTGAGAGACAGATCTGACATGTATTTTTAGGAATAATTGTCAGCGTGAGTTTGGTGTGGCTTGAGTTGAGTGAGCTATGATTTGGAGACACTTTCTGTGAGGGATATTTTTATTCCCTGAATGTATATTATGATGAGGATTTTTCAGGAACCTTTCTTATATGTGACGATCACTTGTCTCTCTCACGTGTGTGGTTGTACTCTGATGTATGATGGGTTTGTGTGGACAATGTGTGAAAAACATCTTATGTATCATGGGTATTGTGAATATGATTGTAAGAAAAACTGTCTACTCCTCGATATACTTGTGCGACCTGCCCACGGGCAGCTGATGGGGCAGAGTATAAGGGGAGGAAGCACAGCCTGTTTGTGAAAGGTTATGAGGATTTTTTTTGAAGATTTACGAGCCCTGGAGGCTCAGAATGCTTACCATGTTGATTATTGATTGCATGAGTTGTGATGAGGACCCATAAGATGGTCTCTCAGTGATGTTTCGTTTTATGATGGGACCCCCTTGAATTTTGGAGGAGGGGAATGTTTTATGATGTTTTGTGATGTAACGAAACCCCTCGTGATTTTTGGAAGGGGGGGTGTTTTGTTTTATGATGAGAGCCCTTTGAATTTTTGGAAAAGGGGGTGTTGTGTTGGAAGACTTACCCTCAAAAGTGAGTAAATTGATTTTATGGCATGGCAAGTTGTTTGATGGGTGATAAAGTCTGACGAAAAGGGTCACCTTTGTTTGGGATGTTTGAGAAAGTCGCAATGAGTGCAGGGCGAAAGATGTCTCAGGGTGGGTGGCTGCTGGCTCTGATCAAGTCAGGGGTCACG